AAGATTCCGAAAGGCAAGGTACTCCGTTGGCAACTTACTCCGCTGTGGCATTCTTCATTCTCAGCCAGGGTATCCTTCTAATCTAATATTCTCGCCGAGTTACAGCTCCGAGGTGTGCACCTACTCCGATATCTGACGATTTTGACGAGGTGTGAGTGATGAGAGGAAGGGAAGTGAGGATGGTCGTCGCGCTGGGTAAAACGAAAGCTAGAACTGGCGGATGCCAGTCTCCACCACTCTCTATCAGCTTGTACAAATCGGAGATATAATTATTCGGAATTGTGTGGCCCGGCAATACGCGCGGAAACACGTGTACGTCTTCCGCGCAAATTACGCTTGGGGTATCGTGCGTTGTGACCTGAATTCTGAAGCAATCAGCGGCTGGCATTAAATTACATGTGCGCTCCATCGGTATCGAGAGGCCGCCACTTCGATGACGTAATTAGCCAACGACGTAATACGGCTGCTGTTAATATAGCTACCAATTAATGTAGAAACCCCGGGTTTGTCGATTAATTAATGAAGCCTGAACGATCTGCTAATTTCCGTGGCAGAACACCGGCGGAACAACTCTCGATGCCCCTTCGACTCGAATCTTCCTGAGAGGAGGAAGTTTCGAGCCGGCGACGTTATTGTACGCGTATACTAGCTACTCGCGAGTAGCTACGCTGCGTATATATATATATGTAGTTTGCTAATGTAGTTAGATCGTGTGCTTCGTCGTTTCGTTTTTCAGCGTTGTACCGGCGAAACTGCTTTTCGAAAGCAGCTTTTGCTCGGTTAAGCGCAGAGAGCGTCGTCGTTTCTCTTCACCTTTCTTTCGATCTTCTCCCGACGGTGAAAGCTACGTTGGGTGCGTTTAGGAAACTATCCAGGGAGCGAGGTAATCTACAAGGACGATAGGTGTGTTGGTAATGAACGACGTTGGGGAGGAGGAAGGTGGCGCGCAAGAACATCAACGAACGGAAAAAGGCGAACGTGGAAAAACGCGCGTCTCGCAATAGTCGGCAAGAGACTCATTGTACGGCTAATTAGTGGCAACTTTATCACGACGAAGTTGCTTGTTCCAGGTAAATACATGAGAAAGACCGGGCGCCATTTGAAATTCGCTTTGCCAACGATACACACGGCCGGTGTATATTTAATAGAGTCTTAATTGGAGTCGACGGCTCGAAAGGTTTAATTGGACATCGTTCCGTCGCGGTTTCTGCTCCCTTCAACCCCGCTTTTTTTTTCTCCCCGCCGCGCGCACTTTCCCCCCTCTCTCTTTTTCTCTTTTTCGCTTTCGTCTCTAACGCTGTTTCATGTGCCCTCGCTCGAGGACCACCGAGCCTCTGGATTACATAGTCAATGAGCGATGGTTCAAAGAATATCAAGATGTTCGTTTGAGCATACTGTCTGTCCGCGCGCGGCCGCTCCCTTTCCACTCTCGATACCAGTCGTCGAGCTCGTGTTCGTGTACTTGGGAATCACTTGCCGTTGCAGCTATTAATTAAACTTCTCGTCCTTGTCCAATATTTTTTTTTTTTTTTTTTGAACCATCACGAAACTCTGCCGTGGTAAGAGCATTCCGACAAACTTCCGAAAGACTGTTCCAAGTTTGCGCGAGACTAATCCCTCGATTTATTTTTCGCTTTGGCTCGCGTAGATTCTCTCTCGCAGGACAAGCTTGTTGAAGCTTATTTTTCTTCGCAAATTACGTTCCGTGAGTCATCAGTAGAATTTATAAGAAAAAGGAGCGATTCCATCGTTTAGAATCCACTTACAGATCATTCGTCCGGTTATTGTTCAAGGGGAAAAATCATTTGCCCCGGTTGGTACATATATGATATTCCATCCGAACGTCCAAAGTAACCGAAAACTTTCGCACGTGAAAAACCAACGCTTTCCTCCGCGATGCTCAAAGTATTCTTAATGCAAATTTAACCGCGACAAGTTCGTTCACTCTGCTATATTAAGGCTGATAAATGTTGCACCTAGAGAGAGTAGATGCTTTAAGTAGAATAGGTCCGTACGTGATCAAACAGTCTTAAGTAAAAGAGACTGATATGTCGGATATATAGAATGAGTATAATGATATATTTAAGTAGAATAAGTAGACATCTGTAAGTAGAATGGGTCCGTAATCAATATACACTTTTTCACGGTACTGATATCGCATTATTGATTATCGTATTGAACATGAAACAACGTGATATTTTCTTAGAAAATACGACGAAGAACGTATGTTGATATTTTAATCGATGAAGGGAATAGACATGATTTTCTAACATTAGCAGTGTCTAACATTTTAAAACAAATGAAATTTCCAGTTACCATGAATGTACATGTGATGTTCAGTCTTCATACATCTCTTTCAATTTGGCTTCAAATTTTCTGAAAACTTTTCTGAAGAAAAAACAAATGGTAAACAATAAAAAGAAAACAATCGAGAAAAAACAATGATTGTAATTTACAGTGGTAATGAAAAAATGGTAAACAAGTTGATTGACGATCCACCCGATTGGCCATTTAAACGTAAGATCCAACGAGCCGGAAGTAAGGACGAGATACGCAAAGCTGTCGCAGTCAGCGAGGAGGGGGTGGAATTATTAACGCGTAATCGAGCCTCCTCTCGCTAGGAGCAATCGGCAGCAAACGAATTCCTTTTCTTTTTTTTTTTTTTCCTTTCTCTCGCGTTTCCCACTTTCTCTCTTTTGCTCTTTCAATTCGACTATCGATCGATCATCGAAGTCGCGCTTTCTCTCTTTCGCCCTTTCCGCCGTCTCTTTTTTTTCGCCTCCCTCTCTTTTCTCGGTTTTTTCCGCACACGCCGCGCCGGTCACCGTCAACGCGAACGACGCTGACGTTGAGGCGTAAGTCGGATGTAAATGGCATAAAAAGTTTTGAGCGTGCATATGCACGAGCCGGTGCAACCGGGAGCGGGAGTATGAACAAGGGTGTGGTGGCGGGGCGTTGCTGGAATATGGCAACTGGAATTGCACACTGGCAGGTAGCGGGAGAAAGACCGTGCTCGCTAGAGAAAGAGGGACTGTTTGAGAGGCAACGACAGAGAGAGAGAGAGAGAGAGAGAGGCAGAGTGGAAGAGAGAAAGTGTGTATAGGCAGAACGAGACGGATAGAGAGAGCCAGAGTGACAAAGAGAGAGAGAGAGAGAGAGAGAGAGGTAGTGGAAAAGGGTGAGCGAGGTGGAGGCGAGCGACGATCAATACGCCATCAGCTTAAATTACAATAATAACGCCGACCAGACAATGCGAGCACGCCATTATAAAATAGTGCAGCCGTAAAAAGCTCTGGTGTCGCGGGGTTCAACCGTTCGACAAACAGCCGTCCACAACGTTTAATCGCTATCGAAAACTGAAATAAAATGTTCGCTCATTCGAATATTATGGTATTAGAGCCGAGGATCTCGATAAATCGACCGACGTTATCGCGTTTGTTGTTATTTAGATCATTAAAATATCGATATGTATATATATATGGAGGGGAACAGTTTCGTTTTCCATCCGCGGATCACTGCAAATTGTAAAATTGCGATGACGTGCCCCACGTACGTTCCGTTGGATCGATCATAAACAGTCAATTTTAATAGTCACGCGAACGTCACGGTGGACGTTCCCTCTCTGTATGCTCGTTACGTGCGTCAGATCGATGAAAAAAAAAGAGCGGCCAATTTTCAAGGCGCGCAAAATACGCGTCAATATTTAAATGTAATCGATCCGATGTAACGTTCATGAACGTTGAAATTATAACGATGCTCGAGCTGCGTTTCACGTTCGACGAGTTTACATTCAACGGGATAAACGCGTCGTGTCCGCCAGCTTTTTCGAATTAATAATGGCGATTCTTACGCGCGATTGTTGGCGGCGTGTAATTAACGCGATGAAGCAACGTAGAAAGCGTGGAATTTTCAAACGAGAGAGAAACGAGGTAAATGTAAATTTGCCGAGCATACTCGGGTAATACGTAACAGGGACAAAAGGAGGTCTCCCGGTGTTGTGAAAAATTGATACCGGAATCTTTGTCTCCTTCAACAAGTCCGCGGAGATTTCTTTTTCCCGCGAAACGTCCGAGAGATACGAAATGCATTTCATCGAGGTATCAAGTGGTAGACAGTCGAAGAAAAATTGATGAAAGAAGGTGAATCCATTCCCGTGGTTTCCGCTCTTTCTTCCTTTTCTTTCTTTCTTCTTTTTCTTTTTTTTTTTCTTTCCTTCTTCTTTCTCTCATCCTTTTCTCTGCCCCTCTTCTTGTTCTTTAATGCTTTTTCATCGTTACGATTCATCGAGCACTCTCGAGCCCTCTGAAACGCCTCGAGAGCATTTTCTTTAACGGTGCAAACGAATCGGGAACGTGAAAGTTGATCGCGCGAACCTTGAAATAACACATCAATTCCAAACTTCCGATGGTAAACTTTTGCCATTTTCCCCGTTCCCACGATGAGAACTCGCCCATTCAGCCGGCCGACCGTGCGCCAACAGCCAGTTCAACGATTCGAGTTTTCGATCACAGACTTAAAGTGAAACGCTTTGTTCGTCGAATATGTCTCAATTTTTGCCGCGTTAGCGTTCACCGGTCGAAATGGAACGCGGCAAATCCACCCGCCGCGCTCTGTTTCGTTCTTCCCGTTCGTAAACACATTTCGTTCCGCTCGTTCGCCTGGACGCTGTTTCGCTAATTTCTCTTGCTCGCTTGCAAAGTACACGCCTCCTAATTTAATTAACGGCGATATAATTTCGCAATTACACCGGTCCACGTTGTTATAAAGTCTGAAACTATATCCGAAGTTGCTGCATTAAGTTTAATATTCCGTGGCTTTCCAACAACCGGGGAACAAGAGCCCTCGAGGACTGCAGGTATTCAGCGATTTTCCCTGGTATATCCGAGGCCAAAAATGTCAAGTGTCTCTCGTGGAGTGCAATATGAAAACGTATAGATTTATCGAAAGGCCACGAACGACTGCTGTTAACGACTTGCCAACGAATTTCTTTTCGTTTTCAGACCCTCACACACCAGTACCGCCAAGGTTCAACGAACGAGTGAGTCCGGCCCCTATACGCACTGGTGAGACGATCGTCCTTTCGTGCATCTCCCAGGGAATCCCGCCGCCCATGTATCTATGGTTTCGCGAGTCCGTGACAGGCACGGCGATGATCTTCAATTCAGAAAGGATCTACACGAGAGCGGGCGTGCTGGTGCTGCAATCGGCAAGGGCAGAGGATGCCGGACGATACGTCTGTCACGCCAACAATACGGCTGGTTCCGAGATGGTCGAATTGGAGGTCTCCATTATAAGCAGCCTCTCCATCCACCTGGTACCTCAACAGGTTAGTTTCCAGTACTTTCGTTTAATCTTCGTACCCGTACCGACCCCGTACCTTTCAATCCCTTTCAGCAGCCCTTGAAACGATTCCTTTCGATTGGTCATTTTTAGTCGAACTTTCCTGTAATTTTTCATTTTTTATTAGCGTAGTGTCGGTTGTTGTAATTAATCTGTAGTTGTAACTACAATTTTGTTTAAATATAACAGATGGCCTGTTGATCATAGAAATGTGATAAAATATGAATGCGATGCGAAAAGTCCAACGTAGGTCTGGCTTTTCTTTAAAAAAAAAAAAAAACCAGAGTCGAAATACCGAGTAGTGAGAGTCGTGAGAGAGCATTCAGAAAGGGCTGTTAAAAGTGTCAATTGTGTTGTTAAAAGAGTTGATTTGAGTTGTTGATTCGTGCTGATTGAATGTTAGTTGTCTTGTTTAATTATTTGTTGTTCTATCATCCTATTAAATAAACATTATTTATATTATATCTCGACATTAGTATTTTCGTAAATTCGACCTCAGTATCAAAGTATAATTCAATATAAAGGTAGAGTAGTTTCTCTTTTATTCAGTCGCGCACTAACTGGCTGAATCCTCATCTGTCATTCTCGGTATTTAGTACGAAGGGAACTTTAACGAATTTCATTTTCTACGCTTTATTTCGTCGCAATGACAAATGGCTACTCTTTATCGTACTTTATCGTGCATCGTTTTTGGGTCAACCAACCATTCGTTTGTTCGGTCGAAGATACGGTTCTGGAAGGAATCTACCATACAACGCAACGCGAGACAATTCAACGACCAGCGATCAGTTCACTTCTGGCAGACCTCCCGGTTATTCTCAAGGCACATTCACTCGCGTCTGCACGAAACCTTGGAAATGGTCGTCTTCCCTATCATTTCAAAATTCTCTTCCCTCCAGTTAAAAATCCCTTCCATCCACACCGACTTCTCAAGATAGACTCCGATTGGAAATAATCTGAAATTTATTCCCTTCGTCCGCTTCGATTCGCCACGATATATAGGCTCTAATTGGAAGTAATCCAAAATTTATCCCGAGGAAAGATTTCTACCGCTTGCAGTTTTCAACAGGTTAGCATCCGTTCGTTTCTAGCCCGATTGGACGTCGCCAGCCAAATCGATTTCGTTTCATCTGCTCGAATGGCGACTTTGAGCTGATTTAATCAACGATACAGATACAACGTTAATAATTATTTAAACGAAGACACTCACTTTACTCTCAGGTAGCTGAAAAAGAGGGAAAAGTGCACGGTTCGCGTGCCGTCTCAACAGGTTAAAGGCACTCTATCTCGGCGTCGCTTGCTTCGATTGAATTTCTCGAACGAACCGAACGATCCTCCCCCCTCCCTCCTCCCCCCATTCCGTCGGATAATCCCAATCCTTCGAGAAATCTCGGAAGGCGTCGCGCGACGATATTCTCGATCGAGGCTAGACGACGAACGACGCGACACCTTTTTGCCGCTGCTGCTGGATGCGACATCCGTGCCCGCGAGATCCGTTTCCGGCCTCTCGACGAAGAAGGGATGACCGTTGTGTGTGTGTGTGTGTGTGTGTGTGTGTCGTGCAGGAAATAAATTCCACAACGGGTGTGCTCAACGCGACCGTTGAAACGCGAAAGCAAAAGGATCGCGGCGGTTCTCTCGATGATAAGTAGCTTCTCTTCATCCGGCCGATACCTCAACAGGTTAGCCGCTTCCCTTTATTCTATTTCGTAAACGAGCTTGAGAGCTATCGCGGTTACTTTTCTCTTCTTTCCTTTCTGCTTTCTGTTTTTCTTCTCCCCTCCCTCCCCCCTCCCTCCCCCCTCCCTCGCCCAGCCGCGTTCGTTTCCTTTCCAGTCAGAGGAGAGGCGAAGGTCTCTCGACTGAGCCACGGATTCTATTTTCAACGGATATCTACAAATTATCCCCCGTTAGCTCCCTCGCGAACGTAACAGTTCGTTGCACCGTGGCTTTGTTAAATCGATGAGATATTCTCGTTTTCCCTCGTCGTCGTGGACGAGTACTTGCCGGTTTTCTCGGAGCTCGGCGATCTCTGCTTCGCGAACAAACTCGCGTCGGAAGGGAAATGAGAGGAGAGAGTCTGGTCTTCAACGTCGTCGTCGTCGTCGTGCCCGGAGTTGTTGACTAATTCCCGCCGATGTGGATAATTGAGTATCGCTCGTCGGAGTAAACACGATGACGAGGACACAGACGAGGTATGTGAATCAGAGCAGTAATAAGCATCTTACGGGATTTCGTGGTCCGTGACCTGAAATATTACCCGAAAAATTACTGCTTTTTTAGCGCACTCTGCATTTAAACAACGATGAATTGGGAAATTACATCTAGTAAAACGATGGAGGTTGGTCAAGTAGCGAATGCGCCAGGAATATGATTTTTGAAACCCATTACAAACTTTCAATACAGAAATGTGAAACTAGTAACTAACTGAAATCATTTTACAACATGTGTCAGAAAGAGCTCTATCCATATTTTACGGATTTATCACGACTCTTGAATATGTAGTAAAATAAAATTTGCAAATTATTAATACATGGTTTTAGGTATAAATCATTTATATTTTATTAAATATTTCTAAAAACAATTTTCAACTAATTAAATTTTGAACTATTTTAAATTATTGTTAACATTCAATTATCAAATTTATTTTAAATTTTTAACAATTTTATTATAATTATGTAGTGCATTGGTTATGACAAATAATGTAAATTCTATTATTCATTAGTGAAAAATTATGCTTATTAATTAAAATTTGTTACTCGAAATTTTTCTATAAACTACTTTGCCTATCAATAGTATGATGATAACAATTATGTATTTAATTATTTACTTGTTATTTATTTAATATAAATCTTTAATATTTCATGAAACATATATACGAAACATATTTTTATATATCTTGCAAAATCGACTAAAGAACCATTTTTACAAATTTGGTAAAAAGGAATACGTTACATGCTGCAAATTATATTTTATATTTTCGAGTGATGGAATAAATTTCAACTGAAATGGAATTTTATATTTCTGTTCATGGCTGTTGTTAAGACGAACTCAACGACTCACGTATGATATCATTTCTTGTTGGAACATATCTGGAATTGCATTATATATTTGTGCGCAAGTGACGTTATAAATTGGTCAACTAAATATCAATCTGAATTGAATTTGACGGCTATAATATTTGTAATAGACTAACACATAATACTGAGATGTGCTTAATTCTTCATTCCAATTTTCATCAATCTCTGTTTTAAATCGTTGTATTCCTTCATCGATCAAGTACCACCACGTTCAATTCAATAAATGATTCTCAAGCAGATATGGCAATATTGTCCATATTTTTTAATTTTAATTCTCATCATTAGTAGTATTGTAGTGCAAAACTTGCCTGAATTGATACAACAAGATGCGACACGAAAGTGTAAAGGGGTCCTGAGACCCCCCCACCCCTCAATCGTGGGCCGAAAAAGTATATTGTATGCAAGGTCTATTCATATACCTCGTCTGTGATGAGGATAACGATAGGCCGAGTAATCTCGAAAACATTGCTCGCTAGCTGGAAACGTTCGATTCGCATCTCGATTCGTAAATATCGGCTGAGGGAAATAACGAGCAACTCTTGTTTCCTGGCCTGCTCGCCGTAAACGCGACGCTGTTATTAATTAGTATTAACTTCCGTTAATTAGTAACCAGGTTGGCGAAGGCGCCTCGTCCCCGTCGGGGGCGCTCCACGCGCAGTTCTTCGTAGTTTCTTTGATCTTTTAACAAGCTTTGTTACTTGTGTCCGTGATGTTTCTCGGGACGATGAACGTGACCATTGTGACAATGATAAAAAAGAGTACCGAACGAACCGATGACTCTCTCTCTCTCTCTCTCTCTCTCTCTCTCTCTCTCTTTCTCTGTATGTCATTGTGAATCGATAACGACGTGTGTCAGCGACTCGCAACGATCGCCAATCATCGGTTGTGCGATCTGTCGCGCCGCGCTTGTTCAAAGTTATTGGATCCCGGTCGAGGCCATGGATAAATCGCGAAAATACGCGCCACGTAGCGTGTTGAGCGTAACGCAACCCGCGCGAGGTGCCAGGTCAATCTCGCAAATCGTATATCCCAGTCAAAACAACGAAAATCGCCGCGCCTGGCACAGTGTGCGGCAGGATCGCGCTGGATTTGACCTACGGGATCGTTGGTAAGCGTATTAACCGTGGCGTCGATTGCCCGTGCAAAGCGGAATAATTAATAACGTTTCAAACGAAATGTCAAAGCGCGCGGAAGCAGGTTGATCCATTCAACCGGTCCTTCTCCCTCCCCCTCTATCCGCGCGCGCGATCGTTGATTCGATTTGCGGTTGAAATTTTCAAACTTGTCGCCGGACGATTCGACGCTCGATTACGGTGATACTCGAACAGCCTCTACAAAATGCATCCTTTCTCCCTCGGGAACTCGAGAAGCACGCTCGAAGCAGTTGCGTCGGGAATCGGTGGTTCGCTCGTTCGTTCGTTCGTTCGTTGGCCAAGCTCGTGAATTTCAGCGTTGCCGGAACAGAAAACAAACGATGGTTTTTAACGCGCGTCGAAATCCGAGAATAGGAGAAAGCGGTCCTGTATAAACAAAAAAAAAAAAAGAAATGGGGGAAAAATAGGATGGACAAAATGGTAGCTACCATGGAAGGAGAGAGGATCGATGAAATAGCTAGTTCGTTCGCCGGAAGTCTGTCGCATAACTTTTCCAGTCATCAGCAAAGAAACGCTCATTGCGGACGGATTCTCTCCCGTATATTAGCCGCCATTCGCTTCGATCGCACTTTCGTCCATTAACGCGGCCGACTTTGCCGCCCCTTTGTTAAAAGCATCGTCGCGTCTTTTCGACGCGTAATCAACTTTTCGGTCGACTGTTTCGTTCGCGTTGCGTCCTGTCTCACCAAAATCTCTGTTTCGTAAAGCACTTGCTCTGACTCTCTCTCTCTCTCTTTCTTTCGTCTCATGAAAATCTCTCGCAAGCGATACAAGGCGGGTCGACTACACGAGAAAAGAAAATAAGCCAGCGAAATCCGATTTATTCGATTTTCACATAACAAAGATCATTCCATTCGTCTAATCCTATGGAACGTTCGCTCGACGACGTTCCCGCGAGCATAGCGAATCGAGAATATTCCACTACATTCCGCCCCGGCCTGAGCACACACAGTCTTGCGCTCGTTCCGTGGAATTTATGATTATTTGCTCCTATTTTTCCAGAAATTCTCGCAATAATTCCATCTGCGTCTGTCTCTCTTTCTCTCCTCTACTGCTTCTACGCCCGGTGTAGCAGACGTCTCGGAAGAAGACGTCGAGTCGGTCTATAACGCGGTTATATCGACAATGTAAACGTATCGCTGGTTGTCGTAATAACGCGACGATACCGCGAGTAGGAGACAGGGATAACAGAGACAAAGCGGGTACCGAGGTGCAACTCGACGCCCTCGTAGATTTGCCCTTTTCTTCTTTTTCTTCTCCTTTTTCTTCTTCTGCTCCTTTCCTCACCTCTTGCAGCCAGCTCGTTCGCCTTTAAAGGTGCCATCCTTGCGCATCTTATTTCCCGTTCCTTCCTCTGGTTGCTTGAATGCCGTATCAAAGGATATTTAAACCTAAGGTCTTCGGTTTGAAAGAAAGTTTCCTTTAGGGTCGCGAGACAAAAGAAGCCGGGAAGGCGAGAGCAACGCGCGCGATCCTCTCCACGGTACTTAATGGCCGTCGTGGTGGTTCGATTTACCACCCAACGATTTCACTGCCCTTGGACCAACCAGTTTCACGAACGTCTCGTCCTTAACCCGTATCTAAAGTAAATCGCAGTCCCGTGATCCTGGAGTTTTAATGTACATGATAGAACGTGGACGTCGTTCCTTTGAAAAGAAAAATATTCTTTTTGTAAAAGAAAATTTTGCACGGATCGAAACTTGAAATAATGTTACACGTTGTCTCCAAACATTTTCAAATCCTGTCAAACGAGCCTTGTCTATCCAAATTCAAGTGTCATCCATTAAAAGTGCGTGCTTGGGGCTGCTGTCTTTACAAACAATCGCACAGATGACGATCAAATTGCGCGAAAGAGGACTTTTAAAGTCCGTGAAACAGTAAAGTGTGTTTAACGAAGGAAACCAGTCGTGGACACTTCAAGGAGATAACGATTCCAAGCATCGTAGCCGCATTTACACTTAGTCGGGAAAACGGTGTCAGCGTGTTGGCAATCCAGTCGAAAATATTTAGTTAATCGTGAAGCATATGTAGACCACGAGGAACGTGTCTTAACAGAAAGCCTAAGTCGTTGAATTCGTGAAATGTCGAGATCTTTACTTGTCTCGTATACTGAAAAGTTTGAAATGATGAAAAGCACATTTCGTCGCGTCCAAGCAACAATCGCTAGCAGTGGGCATTGGCCACACTATTAATCGAGTTCGTGGTAGTACTTCTCAATCCGTGCCAAATTTCGTACAAAAGGAATATTTTTTTCCCATAAATGACGTCTTATCAAACACACTATAAACCGATAGCCGGTTCATCGCGGGTTCTTCGAGTCTCACCGCCCGAGAAAATCGGTCCTGCCCCTCTCGTGCACGCTCCGTGCATTATATGCTCGGGGCATCTCTTCTCCGATGCTTTGGCGCATCGAACGGCTTTCGAAATTCATGACCCGAGGGCGGTCGCGTTACGAGAGAACCCAGGCCAAAGTGTACACTGTACAGTGTACACCCATATGTGCGTATATGTATTTATTGATGTATCGATGGTAATCGGGGCGCAGAATCGTCGTTGCTGTGTATCACCGCCGGCCGGATAAACGAGCCTCTTCAATAATACATAAGACGGATTCCTGGCGAGATCAAAGGCTCGTTTCCTCGATCAATGATCAATTAAGCGACTCAAGATGCATATGGAGATGCCAGTAGGCCACTCCACTCAACCGCATTCCGGTATATATCGGATTCGGTGTGCCCCGCCGCGCCGCTAGGCATTCGGCCTATCGCGTCCGACTATGTCGAGACTTTTCTACTTACCGCGCCGCTTAATCCTACCATTACCATCGTTTCGAACGCTTTCAACCGTGATATCGGTGTGCCGTGCATTGTCGCGTATTACAGCGTCATTTCTCTCTCTCTCTCTCTCTCTCTCTCTCTCTCTCTCTTTCTCTATCTGCTAATTAGCATGGTAAATAACTGATGGCAGCTACCAAAGGGAACGAAAATTTAATAGAAAAGAATACATCGGTGCTCTAGATTATTATAATTACTCCAATGGTGTGTGTGTGTGTGTGTGTGTGTGTGTGTGTGTGTCTCGTTGGAGTATCCGATAACTCTCTTCCTTTGATTCCAGCTAAATGGAAACGCCGTATTGAGAAACCGGTCGTCCCTCCGACTTATTATTGTTTCGTACGTCAACGTTCGCCGTTTGTCGGTTTGCCGGCCGCAACCCAGTTTACACAGAACGATTCTCATTAATGATAAATCAGATGGACCGACAAACTGATCAAAGGGAGATGACCGCGCGCGCTGCCCGGAAAGCAATTAAGCTTTCGAAGATAGACGACGAGATATCCCGACAGGACGTTCGATTCGCCGTTATGCCGCGCGTATGCCACGCGCGCTGCAATTCGCTCCGATTGTGCGTAAGCACGTTAGGCGGTTTTCTATCTTTCTGGCACCGGTAAAGAGCGATAAGCTCGCCACGCGATAGCTTCCTCTTTTCTTTTTCACCGTCATGTTAGCCATCGGCCGGAAGCTTTCATAATTTCGACGCTACGCTTGACAGGGGATCAAAGGAGTCGATAGTTCCCGTCGAAATTTCCAGGAAACGGGGAAGGAGATTAATATAGCGATTCCTGTCGGTACGCGTGGCGAACAAAGCTCAACCGCGATATTATCCGGCTTCGTTCGTGCATGATCTGGATCGTAAAGAGCCGCGTAACCGGATGTACGCTTCGTTTGTCAGCCGACGTGTACGTACGTTCCGGCGACGAGCCATCCTTTGATAGAAGTCACGTCCCATCGGGTATCACTGGTAAAATTCGTGTCGTTAATGCGTAACGAGAAATTATTTTACAAAGATTATTTTACAGGTAATATTGAACCGTCGGCTCCTCGAGATCCTTCCTCAGCTGTGCACGTACTGTTGGAAGACAACGATATGGGGCGAATGGGATGCGTGCGGTGTGTTTATGCTTATTGGTGTTAGAGCGATGGCGAATGATGCAATCTAAGGAACCGCGACATTGTATAGCGTGACTCCACGAATTTTCCATTAGTTTAGCGTTAGTTTCGTTCGAGCCGTAGAACAGCCACCGCGTGTCGCACATCTAAAATTCTACATTCGTTTTATTCTTAAGTTGTATTTAATCATATTATACAGGGTGTCCTGGGTTCTTTTCGCCAAACTGCGAGAGTTTATTCCAGGGGCCAAAAGAAGGAAAAAAATGTTAAATGAAGTTTGCGAATTAACGGTATGTTAAGGAGACATAAACAAATAATGATAAATAGTTACTCGCTATTTTTAAAGTCTCACTTCCAAAATGATGTCCTTCTGCTCGGCTTGACATCGATGAAAAACTGAATTTATTGCTCTATGCAGTGTCTCAGTATCTTGTTGCATTTCAATAAATACATTTTTAATACGCTGCACAAGAGCTTCATTATATGAAGTCACTTCGGTCGAGTAAACTTTTGTTTCAAAATACTCCATAGGTATACGTAGTTACAAGGATATCGGATAGATCCGTGTTTATCAACATTCATTTCCAATTATGAAACATGAGCAGGCTAGTGCAAAGGAAAGGAATGACTGAAAAACTCAGTAAAATACTATCTATTTTTGATTATGTCTCTGTAAGAAAGCGTTAATTCGCGATTCATTATTTCACTGCATAGGCGAGTACCCGCTGTACCTTTTGTTATTTTAATAAATATATTTTTATTACAAAGACGAAATTTCAACACGTACGCTACCGGGAATCGATGATGTTCACGTCCGATGGAACGTTCGCGCAGCTGCGGTTCCATCGGTTGGAAGCAGATTCTTTTCTCCCGGGCGAAATCGTGACGTAGCCAACTTTCCCCCGCCGGAGAACGATATTAAGCTGTAGGGACAAGTCTCGACGATATTAAAAGTGACATTTATTGGCGAACGTGTATGCCAGGTGAACGATGTAACGCCGGAATCGATAACTGTTGCAGGTCACCGTGGACCTCGGCAAGGACGCGGAGTTCCAGTGCTCCGTCACTGGCCAACCAATCCCGGTGATCTTCTGGACCAAGGACGGGCTCCCCGTGGGAGAAAGCGCCTCCGGTAGAAGCAAAATCACGGGGAACGACGGCTCGACGTTGCGCGTCTCGTCCGTGGTGAGGGACGACAAGGGGATGTATCAATGCTTCGCGAAGAACGACTACGAGATGGTACAGGCGACCGCGGAGCTGCGGCTCGGGGGTGAGTGCCTTTAATTCTTAATCGTTTTAGTGCCACAAGCTATTTAACAGAGTTAAATAGTTATTAGAACGAGCGACGATTAAGACGTAAAATTTCCATTAGAGACGTGAATGAAAGATGAAAGAACCAATGAAATGGAATAATTTTATAATGCAATGGAGTAGACGAGCTTCCATTCGTGCATTTTACGAAATGCTATTTAAATCGCCAAAAATACGCTGTTTCGTATCTATAAAATTTCTAACAAAAATAAAAAAAAAAATTGGTCATTTTGATCATGCTAGTAGTTCTGGTGTTGAACTGTTCATGAAACTGTTCCGAAAAGATGCCAAGAAACGCAATCGCGCTGTTTTGTAAACACTGTCTATTTATACAGGTGGTTTAGGTTTAATTGAAAAGGAAGTAATTAGGGAAGCAAGCTTCAATATGACTGACGACGATATGGCGCTGTAATTCGAGTGCATTGTACATACATTGATCACCGCGACCAAACACTGTGGCATTATTCGACACGAAACAGCACGATCGCGCTACATGGCGCTAAAACGGTTGAAACGGTTGAACTTTTATTCGCCCCTGTTTTACGAACAGTGCGTGGGGATAAGACGAGGAGAACGAACGAGGCTTGTGGAGGGTGTGCCGTTAACGACGTGGTCCTGGCGCTTGAAATTACCTTCTCGAAAGTTAAAAATTTAACGCCAATGAAAATATATATACCTAGGCGTCAGACTCCGTAACCGGGTGGTTAGCGAAGTAACTCGCTGCACCCCCTGCTTCTGGCGGGTACAACACGAGGATGTACTTAAAATGTACGTTGTGCGAAGCGTCAAGACGGATTAGCGTACCCCAAGCGCTCGTAACCTGCCCTCTCCCCGAGTTGGGTTGCGCCGGCTTCGTGAAACTTTCATGTAAAAGTATCCGCTCTGAAAATAATAAGGCTAAATTGAAGCTATTAACGGGCCACTGTTAATCAAAAGACCGGCGCGGCGGTCTCCATTGCGAAACTTTTCCTATGACTGCTTCGCCGATAATTTTTTTTTTCTTTTTTTTTTTTTTTGATCGCTTTCCATCGACCATTCGCGGCAACTAAGTTCGTTAAACGGGATAAAAAGAAAAAAGAAAATAAAAAAGGATGGAGTATTACGTATTACAATGACGCTTTATCCAGTTATCCCGTCGGATGAGTTAAATATTTTTAATTAACGGGGAAGTTCGCCGGCCAACAGGCGCGCACCCCAGGTAGCTTCGTTCGACACTTCGAACGAGAAAGAGACTTTCTTTCAGCGACGAGAAACGCGTCGAAACTTGGTTCCCCGTCGGCTGGCCGATATCGAACCAAGTATAAAATTCCTCGACCCTTTAGTTTCGCTCAGAGTTTCACCTGGAATTTATATCCAGCTTGGCAACACGATTCCACGCTTCGTCGCATCCGGTTGCTCGCCCTTTTCCGACTTATCTCCCAGCCAGCGTTGCCGCCCTAACCTTCTCCTTTATTCCATTTTACCCTCTCTCTCTTTCTCTCTTTCTCTCTCTCTCTCTCTCTCTTTCTCGTCTCTCGTCGCGCGCTTTTCTCCGAGGAAAAATTCCTCGTTCAATACGCGCGGCAACCGAATTCTTTCATTACTCCCGCCGAGTTGCTCGGCGATCTCGTCGCGTCTCACCATGGTCTAGCCCATTCTCGCGAACGGAACGAGCCGGGTTCGAGAAGGGCGACGCGACAAAAAGCTCTCCGCTCCGGGGAGAGAGAATAAGGACCGCGCCGTGGCTCGAGAACGAGCGAAAAGACGAGAGAAGGAGAGGAGGAGGCCGAAAGGAAAAGGACGAAAGGAAAAGGACGAAGAAAATGGCGTAGAGAAGAGTAGGGGAGGAAAAACCAACGGCGAGAGAAGCGTCGAAAGGAAGAGAAGGGAGGGAAAAAAAAAATGCTTAACGAGGGCGATGCATAATGGAGAAAGGAGAAATCCACTGGCTGGCGTGCCGTGAAATAAATACATACCATTTGTCTTAGTCACGAGGGTGGGAAGCCGGGCCGAGGTGGCTGCCGCCAGCTCGTCGAGTGAAAGAAACGCATCGCCAGCCAACGACGATGGGATGGGAACGTTGGTTAAAAGTGTTGGTATCCGGTCGAAATTCCCGTGCAAAACCCGGCGACGAACGAACGAACGGACGAACGCAGCTAGGACGAATGGCCGCATCGTCGACCGAATATCCCGCGGCTGACGTCTTTAAAACTGGCGTGGCACGGGGAAGAGGTCGCATCCCTCACGCGACATAATCCATTATCTTAAACGACGCTGTCAGTCGAGCGTCTTAAGTGCACGTACATACCGACCGCTATTTTCGTCTTAGTGTCACGTGCAACGAGACAGAGGCATCAGCCAACATTTCTCACCGACCGCGTGCCGACCGAGTACCGATGTCTTCGTTCGCCATCTCCCGTCTCTATTCTTATCTCTTGTTTCGCCAGCCACTTGGAAACTCGTGGCTAGAACTCCGAGAAGAGAAGAAGCGCGGAAATTTCTGACCGAGCGGCAAAAAGACGGATCGTACGGAGCGTGACACGCGATATTGGTTTCTAATGTAACGAATTCGAATTCAAATTGGCATTCGACGGGTATCGATCGAACGAACGAATTAGAAGCGTGGGAACTTTTTAACCGAGACGATTACTCGGAACTGGCTCGACGAAGACGAACAGTGCGTTTTATTTGACCAACGTTTGTGCATCTCGCGCGTATTGAACGACCTCGTCCTCGTCGAACGAAGGCAGCGGAGAAAAAGACAGGCGTCCGTTTATCTCTCAGCTCTCGACTCTATTTCTCAGTCAGGCCGTTGCGCGGTGGAAATTTTTAAACGTCGAAAAGAAAGAAAAAAATATTGGGAATTTCGCCGATCGTTCGGTCGTTCGGCCCCCCCCCCTCTCTCTCTCTCTCTCTCTCTCTCTCTCTCTCTCTCTCTCTCACGTACACACACCATGGTTAATGACTTTCCCTCTCGGTTCACCGACAAGTCACAACGTTCTGGCTCCACATGGTTTGCACACGATTCCATTCTTTTGCGCGAATGCACGGCCTCCTTCTCATCGAACGGATACCACTGTTCTTTTAACCCTCGGAAGCTTGCAGTCCTGTGCCGGGGTTATTTCTGACTCACATGGATATTCTATTAAAACTTATTTAGATCTCCCGAACGGCTCACCGATACTGTACTAACGCAGAGTCACGGTCGCTCAAACCGAGATCCTTACCGATACTGTACCAACACAGTGACAGACATCCGACTCATACAGAAACATGTAAGAGCATATAGGAACAAATAATAATCACATGATTATGTATTTTTGCAGGCATTACATAAAATTTTCCGGTGTTGTGCCGAATGGGCACTGCAAACATATCGATCACAATTATAGTTGCATATTTATTGTTTCTACTTATGGTTATTACTCGTTGATAATGAAGACATTACGTCAATAAATGGAAACAAATATAAACAACGGAAAAAAGTAATAAAAAGAACAAAAATAATAATAAAAATAGTAAATTAATAATAAAAATAGTAAAATATTAAAATAGTACAGCCCCTTCGTAACCGAGTTATTTTATATGGGATTTCTCGCGATGGTGTTCTTCGGAACCACTCAAGCCGAATTACAAAGGACGCACAAGAACCAAACTTCGTCTTTTCGGACGAGGCTGCAGGTCCCCGATTTGACACACTAACAGCGAAAGATGGAAACCTATTCTAGTGCATTGTCAGTAACAACGAATGAAAGAAGAGCGGAGAAAAGATGTCCCTAATTTCGTTTCAAGTTAAATAAACGTGTCTTTATACAGAATGCGCTGACATTGAATTTACAAATATTAACTATCTTATAATTAACTAAAACTAAACGCACTCAACTTAAAACTGAACGCACGCAACTTAAAATTAAACGCACGCAACTTAAAGCTAAGACGCACGCATCCCACGATGTCCCTCGTCGTCCATCGGTGGCCCGCTGGAGGCCCAATAGTTTACTTATCAACTAATTATCCCTACAGTTCAGTTTAGACCATGAAATACACAAAGCAAAGAAATTTGCACCGTCGAAACTGAACTGTAGGTTGCGTAGTTCTCAGCTTGATATCGTTTTACAAAAATTTGAGTTTGTAAAACGATATCAATTACCAGGTCTCACCACGAGGAGGTGACTACGTACGAGACCCGCCCGGGCCCTAATCCCAACCACCCTCCATTAACAAACATACAAATAACTCTGCATTCGTAAGGAATGCCGAGGCTTTATTCTACTTGGCCCGAGGTTAAACAAAAAGGAGACAGACGTTCCGTAGTTCAATCTCAAACTTAAGTCTAAATCTTAATTCTAAAACTCACATATGAGCTTGAACTATGGAACTCTCTCCCACACAACGATCGCATTAACAATAAGTTCATATCCCGCACAATCATACAATACATATAATACATAAAATAATACAATCATACATTACATACAACGCATACAGATCATACAATTCGTACAGTTCATACAATTCACACAGATCACAGCTCATACAATTCATCTAATTCATACAGATCATACATTTCGTACAGTTCGTACAGTTCGTACAGTTCGTACAGTTCGTACAGTTCGTACAGTTCGTACAGTTCGTACAGTTCGTACAGTTCGTACAGTTCATACAGTTCATACAGTTCATACAGTTCATACAACTCATACTATGCACACAATTCACACACTGCACACTATACACACAATACATAAAATCATACAATTCATACAATAATTGTACAATCATTCGCAGACCTACCAGCGCATTTTGTATCAAAGACACGTTTATTAAACTTTGAACGAAATTAGGGAAACGAAACTATTGACACGCTTCA